TGCCTCCTCGCTGGGTGGCACCAGCTTCTGCTTGGTTAAAAAGGATCCCACTGAAACCAAAATGGTCGTGGGGCTCTGGCTCTTATGATGCAAAATTTTCCATGGTATCGGCAAAGGGCTTGATTGGGGAACCCAACCAGGAAGGCACCACGGAACCCACCAACCTAGCAAGGCCCCCTGCCCCGAGCCTCAATCCTCCTCTTTTTCCCCGTCATTGCGGGAGAGTGGGTTGCTGCGAACCCTCCTGGGCTTCATGGGCCCAAACTCTCTTGCCGCCCATGGGGACCCAGAGTTAGTGTTGAAGGAGTTCGAGGTCAGGGGAACAAAGGACCCAAGGTTTCCTAACGGATCATCGCCTTCATCCTCGTCCATGTCAAGCTCCCTCTCCTCCTTCCTTGTTTGCAGGTAGGCCGACAAGGCCCCTTCTTGCGTGGCAGACAGCTCAACCCCAGCAACCTTCAGCAGGCCCTGGAGATCATGAACTTCCTTGGCTTCGGGCGGCTCGGCATTCTTGAGTTGCTCCTGCACCTGGGTCTGCACCTTCCCCAGGCTGTCCTCCGCCTTCTCGATGGCCTTGGAAACGTCTGCCAATTCTTTGAGGGCTTTTTCGAACTGGCCTTTGATCTTGTCAGCTCGCGCTTGCAGCCGCACTTTGCGCTCCACCAGGTTTCTGTGATCCTGGGTGATCGACGTGTACGCCGAAAGGTACTTCTGCAGCGTGACCCTTGGGTCATCACTCTTGTCCTCCGCCGGTGGCTCAATGCCACACGCACGAAGAACCTTCTGGGCTTGCGGGTCTGCATCCTGCCACAGACTGGCAACGGCATCCTCGTACTCCTGGGGAGTCATCTGAGCACCGGTCCATCCCAGTCCTGGCGGATACTCCACCTGCTTCTTCGGCTTGCGCGTCGGCTGCCATGCTGGTTCCCACCAGCTCTGTGCTTTCTGCATGTCCTGGCGAGCCCAGGCTTGCCACTTATTCCAGTCCTCTTGGCTGTTGCGCGCGGGACTTTGGGGCCTCTGTGGCTGGCTCGGTGGTGTGTAAGGTCCTGGCCAGGCAGCACCACAATGCCAGCAGCATGGGTACCAGGCCTTTTCCGATTTCCACACCCAGCACACTCCACATTGGGCACATGCCGTGTAGTTCTTGGCGGGCATGGCACTGAGATGCCCACACCCTGGCAACACCAGGTACCCGGCAGCCGGCGAAAGAGCCTACTGGTTGCACCAGTAAGCTGGTAACACCAGCAGAAGGGCACCAAGTCCAAGGACTGGTTGCAAGAGACCGCTACCCCAGCCTACGACCTTTAAGGTTCGCGGTTTGGGGTCTGGTAGGGACCTCTAGCAAAGTGAGCCCCAAGGCTAAAAGGCCACGACGGCACTGAAAGTCTTGCGCCAGAATCTTGAGCCGGAGGATAACTGTTTTTTTCTCGTCTTTGGCGAAGCGAGTCGCAGCCAGCTTTTAGCCGGCAAGTTTGGGTGAAACGTACTGTACTTACACCAGTGCTGTGGCCGCTTCAGCATCTGGTTTTGGCCTACAGCTTAGGCTCTTTGGCCCAGGACACCAGCTGAGCTGGTTGCTACTTTCACCAGTCTTTAGGTTTTCACCAGTCAGGCTGGTACTGGTAGCACCAGAGCTGTTGGTCCTGGTTTGCCCTAAGCTAAGGCTCTTTGGCCCAGAACACCAGCTGTGCTGGTTACTACTTGGCACCAGCCTTCTGGGTTTCCACCAGTTTGGCTGGTACTGGTAGCACCAGTTTGGTTTCCAGGCTGTGGCCTGAGCCCTTGCCCCCTATGGGAAGGGAAGGACCAACCAGGTTTTCCCTGGTACCAAGTCGTGGAGGTATACCCTTCCGGGAGGAGAGGTTGTCCAAGGATCCCCTCCGGCGTGATGGCAAGCACGTTTGCTTGAACCAACACGTGCATGAGGCTCTCGTAGTCCTCACGCGGGAGCGTGGCCCTTGCGTACACCTTCAAGGCGTACGTCAGACTCTCAAGACTGGTATGGTACTCCTGCACCAATCCTTTGAGCTCGGCCTTCATCTCGGAGTCGTGCGCCTCTATGGTCTTCCAGAAGCCCGACAGTCTTTGGACGTTTGCCAGGGGGATAGGGTTCCCACCCCAGCACGTCCACCACCACCAGCTCCGGCACCTCGTCGGGGCCTGGGGCAAAAAGCGAAGGCCCATGTTGGCCCGCCCTATGTCTTTCACCAAGAGTATCTTGGCTAAAAGGGCCACCGTGAACATGGTTTGCATCACTTGGATGCGGCTGAGCTGCGCGGGCATGGGGGTCACAGCCTCCATCTCTATGAGGGTGACCCATAAGATCTCCTGGTTAGCACCAGGGCCCTGCTCCCACATCTTGTACCGCCCCTGTGGCTCTGCACACCAGGACTTCCTGGTCTTGTGGGTAGGTTGAGATTTTCCACACAACCCCTGCCTTGTGCGGCGTGAAGGTCACTACACGTGACCCTCCCAGTCCTACCACCACCAGGCTGAGCCTGGTTACGTCTGGTGTGTCAGACTCCACTTGCACCTGCTCCTTGTACCGACTATGGTACGGCTTCACATCCTTCTTCATTTGGATCGTGAAGGTCATGGTGTTGGTGTAATCCGGCTCTGGGTTGTTTACAGCCGGCCCTGGTGGGAGCTCTCTGACCCTTGCTGGCGCAATGGTTGAGCCACTGCTCTCCGGGGTCGGGCTTTCCTCCTCTGGACCCTCCAGGTCCTGCTATTCTGCAGTTGGGGCCTGGTTGGCACCAGGGTCGCGGGAGGCTTTTGTTGACTCCTTGTCCTCTTCCTTTGCTGCCTGGTTTCCACCAGGGCTTTGGGATGGTTGAGCAAGGTGCTCAACCTGGACTTCCACAGTAGCCCTGGGGCTTGCAGGCTCAGTTGCTTGCGAGGTTTCTTCTTTGGGGTTTGAGGCCGGTTCTGTGTCCGACCTTTCTGCTTTTTCCGCCTGGTTTGCACCAGGGCCTTCCCCGCTTGGGGATTCAAGGCTCCAAGCCGGCTCTGTAGGGCTAGGCTCCGGCTTGGCTGTTTGGCCCTCCGGCTTTGCCGGGCTCTCCTCCTCTTCCTGGTCATCACCAGGTTCACTTTTCTGCTCTTCATTGTTGTCTGCTGCTTCAGAGGAGGAGGAGGAGCTGCTAGGTTCCCCACCTGGGCCGCCCTGGCCTTGTTTGGCTTGCCCTTGTCTGGCCCGCGCTCCTTCTCTTATGGTCGTGAGGCTCCTCATCCGTGCTATAGTACGAATACACTTCGGCAGTGGGTGCCGGGGCTGGGGCTGTTGTGTCCATTGCCGCCGCCGGCCTCTTCCTTGCCGGGGGTGGCGTGGGAGGCACTTGTGCTTTGCCCTCCTCCTTGCCGGGGCCTTTTCCTTTTCCTTTGTTTTGCTTGCCCTTCTCCTTTCCTTTATCCTTTCCTTTAAACTCCTTGCCTTTGACACCAGGTGGTGGAGGGACTCCCCTGGTTGTTTTTCCTTGCTGGCGTTCCTTCTTTCCCGGTCTGTTCCTGTTGTACCACTTCTTGTAGTCCGAGAGAGGAAACCTGGCAGGAGTATTGCCTGGTCTGGCACCAGGTCTTTCCCAGGAGCTGCTTGGTCTCTCCCAGGAGCTGCTAGGCGCTTCTGCTGGTGTGGCACCAGCTTCAGTGTTTTCCTGGGTGGTACCAGGCTCTTCCTCCTGGTCCTCACCAGGATTTTCTCTCTGGTCCTCTTCAGGCTGCTGTTCCTGGCCCTCACCAGGATTATCGTTTGCCATGGCAGGGCTCCGCTGGACGAAACCCCAGCTCTGAGCCAAAAGCTTCCACTCAAAACTTCAGTCTGGTCTGTTTGGGGTCCTCACTGTGGGGCCTGGCTAGACCAGCTTTTGGCTTAGGCTTGGCTTTAGGGGCTTTTCCCAGGCTTTTGCCCTCTTGAGCCTGGGGAGGTTTTTCAGGCGGGCCTTTAGGCTTGAGTTGGGTGAGGGCCTTTCGGGGGTCTTGTGTGCTTGGCTGTCTCAGAGGCTGGCTTTTGGCTCGGGTTTGGGCACCCTTAGCTTTGGTTTTCTTCTTGTTACTGGCTTCTTGGTTGACACCAACAGCATCACCAGCAACATCATCACCAGCATCACCAGCATCCCCACCCCTTCTAGGCTCCTCCCTGCCCTGCTCCACACTGTCTGTCTTTTTGCGGTCCATGGCGTCCGGCGAGCTGTCCTTTTGAGGGGCCCGTTGGGCTGTCTTAAAAAAGCCTGATTTCTGCGGGGCAAACTTTTGAATGCACTGCAAGATCTCTGGGTCCTTGCCCACGTAGACCTGTCGACACTGTTTACCCAGGCTTGGGTACAGCTCTTTATTTCCGAAGCACCGTGAAAACTTCAAAAGGAATATGTGAAAGTCGAATATCATAAAGTATGAATTCAACAATCCACTCTTTCCAATGTGTAAAAATTGGGACTCTCTGCAATCGGACTCTTTCTTTCGCAACTGGGGCAAGGTGCTGGCAGTCTGAGTCATAGGCTCAGGGATAGGCTCCTCCTCCTCTGGCATGCGGACTGCACTTGCCCAAGGGAGGGAGGGTGGGACAAAAATTTTCCTGCTCGCAAAGCTTGAGGTTTCATGCACGGCAACAAAGACATCGCGCAAACCCTCATGCTAAAACTGTCATGCACTAAAAAGGAGAATTCGTGCAGAAATGCAGGAAAATGTCTTTCTGTCATTGAAAAGTAGTCCACATACTCAAAAAGAGTGTCCGACTACTTTTCAAAATAAATCCACAACAAGCCTAGTTTTTACTAATTTCGTTTCAAACGAAATTTGCTTTTGGAAATAAAGGTTTCATCCTTGTTAGAGGAGTTCGACCTTATTTCCGAAGCACCGTGAAAACTTCAAAAGGAATATGTGAAAGTCGAATATCATAAAGTATGAATTCAACAATCCACTCTTTCCAATGTGTAAAAATTGGGACTCTCTGCAATCGGACTCTTTCTTTCGCAACTGGGGCAAGGTGCTGGCAGTCTGAGTCACCCCAATGGAAAATACTGCCGTGCCACCGCATCCCAGTCAACGCGAAGCCTCGAGCATCCAATATTCAAGAGACCCTCGTACTCACCCCTGCTGGGGGAGTCGTTGCTGTGCGTAGGTACACGAGCGTACCATGCGTGGATTTGAAGGGATGTCTCCTTTGAGAGGATGCCATCGATAATCACACGAGCGAGTGCAGCGCCTCCGCCCGCGGCTATTATCGAATGGCGAGCACCTTCGTTGTCCACATAAAAAACAGCTTGAGAAAATCTGCACCACTGGCCCCAGAGCCTATACGCAAGTAGGACGGGCAGAAGCTCAAGCTCGAAAATAGGGTTCTGCGAGTCTCGCAGCAAGATCCTCATAATGTCCTGCGGGACTTGCTCACTGAAGAAGGATATCGGACGGCCATTAAGGCCCACGATCACTCCTCCAATGGATCCCAGCTTTTTCCCGCCTTCGCAGGCTCCATCTGTGAAGATGAGCCAAGACTGATGGTTTTTTGTAGCAATGGTCACAGGCTCAGCCACCCTCAGCCTCTCGCGAATGACAACAAGACTCTTCCTAACATCTTCAGGCAAACTCTTCGTAGTCAGCCCCGCTCTGGCTGCACGGTCCACCGTTCGGATGGACGAGTTCGACATTCGTCCGAAAACAAACCCCTCGAAGAACACCAACCTGCCTCTGAGCCTTTCAGCAGTTTTGAGGTCAAGACAATTGGCGTTCAAGATGCTTTCGATGAACACACTCAGCTCTTCTCGGCGCTCGGCAGTGTTCCCGATCCTCACAGTTCCCCGAGGGGCATCATTCAAATCCACTTTGACTCCCAACAGCTTAAATTCTCGAGAGAACGGTGGTGCTTTCTTGCCTTCCCGAGCAAAGTCAACTCCGAGGAGATCAAAGATGGCACATATGCAGGAGTCGGTGTTGGCAACAAGTTCATCTCGAGTCGTGACTCCGAAGTCGTCGAAAAAGGCTGTCCAGAAAATACTGAACAGCCTCATGCCTATCAGCCATATGCTCAACGAGATGCGGAGGAAAGCCGCAACACTGCCCACTGCACCGAACGGCAAGGAGTTCGCACCCATGATCATGGGCTCCGCCTCGCCTGGTTTGTTCACTGCAAATCGAAAGAGCTCCCGGTCTGTAGGGTGGATTCCAAACTGTTTGTATGCACTTTTAAGATCGTATACGCGACCCTTGCACGCAGGCAACTTGCCATCGTTGATGCGTAGCGCCTTGGAAATCCAAGCGGCATACCTATCAATCGAGTGCATTTGGAAACCATACTTCAAGCCAACAGTTGCGTTGATACCGCATATACTGGCGTCATCTATGACGCGCACCTTGTCAAGCTGTCTGATTCCAAATCTACGGGCCAAAGCGCACAACTCTATGCAACTTTTTGTGTCAGCAAAAATCCACCCTTTTTGCAGTTCCTTCTCAGTTTCTAGCCATGTTGCCCTTTCCAAGTCTTCATCCTGCCGGACGCGCATTTTCTCGGCCGTCGACTGATTTAGACCTTTTGCCAAGCATCTAAGGGTAGAAACCGAAAAAGAAGGGGGCCTAACCTTTGGAGGGAAAAGCCCTCCCTGCGACAACCAACCCGACAACCTAAATCCCTCACACATGTGGGAGATTAGCTGGTCGTCTGGTGATCCAGCCGCTTTGTGCATTTCCTGCCACAAGAGTAGCCGCTTGCCCTCCAGCAGCGAACGCAGGTGCTCTGGCAAACTCTGGTGTAACTCCTCTTCTTTTTGCTCTAACTGTTTGGCTCTGGTAGTCCAATGCTTTAGAGCAGCAACCCTAGAGGTCACGGTTTGCGCTGGCGGATCGCTAAAGTTTGCTTTGATTGACTGTATGACCAGCTTTGACACATGTGCACTTCCGTCCCTAGGGTGGCCGGCTTGCACTGCTCGTTGCACGAATGCCTCGGGCTCGGAAGGCAGGCCAATTTTTACCAACTCACCCTCAAGCAACTCTGATTTGCCATCCGCCAATGTAACTTCACTAGAGGAAATGATCAGGGTCTTACAAGCCTCTTCATAACCCCTATCAAAGGTCAGGCGAGACAAGACCCGAGACCCTTTAGGCAGTCCATCGAGCAAAGATGCATCGGTTGAAGGAGGGTCAGCAGGCACAGCCACAAACTTGAAAGACACAAATTCATGCACCAAAGGTGGGTTGCGCCGTCCTCGCGGCAATGCGTTCAAAGCCAGTCGACCATCGAAGGTGGAATCGGACTCTCGGGTTTGAGAGACCGTTGCGAATTCCTGAACCCCAGACTGGAGAAGGGAAGCTTTGACTTTGGCTATGACCCGCTGACCGAAAAGACCGGGCAAACCTGGAGGCGGGTCACCAAGTCTTTCGAGGCATCCACGGTGCATGGGAATGCAGGCCCGAGCACTTGAGAGCCAGGGCTGACCAATCACCCTGTGCTGTGGCCATCTGATAAGGCCGAGGGCGGCCGTCACCATGACAACACAGGTCACATCGATGCAGTTGCAAAGGGAGACTTTGAATCAGCTGAAGGATGAAAGGATCATCCCAGAACTGAGATTTTGGAGAACCCGCAATAACAAAGGGAATCCCAAGGTTCGCGGCAAGTTCACCCAATGTGCAAAGATTTGCAGCCCAAGAGGAACACGGTTGAGATGGCAGCTCGCACCAGACAAGAGCAAGTCTATTTTTCTCGGCTTCGACAAGTTTTTGGAAGCTTTCAAAGTCGCTGCCCAAGTCAAGTGGTAGGCATCTGACCCCATGCACAAAAGCTGGGGGAGCACTGCACAGTATATGTCGCATGCCTGCAGCAAGAGCAGCGCGATGCAGATCAGCAGTGCGACCGTTCACCTCAAGAAACAGGTATTCTCCGACATGTCCCAGATTTACCGGAGCATCGGCGGGCACCGGGCTTCTGGATCTATCCTGCAAGAGATCACGCTTGATCGGCGTCCACACATGCGGAGCCACGGTCTTAGTGGGATTAGGGCTAAACCTTATCTCAGGCGGTATGGCTCGCTCCTCGGCAGCATAGCTGGTTGTAGCACCGGACGGTGCAGCACGGGAGGGGGGGGACTAAACCCAAAGGCATTATCTGGGAGAGACACGGTTTGTGATGCACACTGGAAGCCGAGATCAAGCAGCCTCTGCCGATCATCGCTTGACACTTTTTGGAAGTCCCTGACAGTGTATCCGACCAGCACGAGACGCCGCCCCGTCCAGGGGAGCGTAGCATGAAACAAGTTCCTTGCATCCAAAGTGATTTTATTATCCTCCCAGGGAATCGCATGACCCTTCAAGACACGTCCTTTAGGATCAGTCATTTCAATGTCGCCATCACCCTCAACCCACACGGCCCCTCCTTGGAATTCGGACAACTTCAGCAGGATGTTGCAGCAGGAGTCGTCGTTGTTGGAATCGCGATGCACCTCGGAAGAACAGTCATCTAGGATAATAAAGCTTGTAAAGAACTCGCCCGGAGCAAACCTCCGTAGGTGTGCCGCGAAGACAGCACACACGTTTGGAAAAAGGTTCGTATTGGAATGAAGGCCGTAAAGGCCCCCTTGTGCATACGCCCCAGCACCGAAGGAGCGTCCAACCTTCCCCCGTGGAGGGTTCTGCATTGGTAGCAGCTCAATCAGCTGCAACAGCGAAGATTGGTCGAAAGGACCGGTCATTTGCAAAATGGACGCGGCAAGGGACTCCACATCACTCGAGGCTCGCGAAGCTTCACTCGAGGCAGCGGGAGTCGCCTCTACCCGTCACGAGCCTCCTTTTCGGCAACTTGGGAAGCTGTGGCCGGCCTTGTGGCATCCGGCACAAACATGATATCCCTTCGCACACCTAATTCCGTGAGCATCCTTCTTTGTTTCAAGAGAACACCCCTCAGCGAGGTTGAAGGACCAACAGATAGGCCCCTTGATCTTGGTGACACATCCTTTCAAAGACTCTGGCACAAGGTTTGTAAGACGCTTGCGCTTTTTCTTCTTGTTAGCCTTCTCAGCCAATGCTGCGGCAGCAGCTGCATCGGAAGGGATGGAAGGCGGTGGAGCGACTCTCTGAGGTTGCGGCGCCGTGACAAGGTGAACGACTACGCGAGGGTCTTTGGCCAGCCGCCTCAAAGCAGCCGCCATCACCAGCTCGCCAGCCGCATCTTTTACCCCGATCGGTCCCTCAATCTCACGGCTCATCAATGTCCAAGCCTCCCGGTCTGCCCTGATGACTTGGGCAATCGCGGGCCTGGCCCCGGACACTGGCTCTCCATGAAGATAGGACATAAGGCTCTGTACGTACCACTCATGGTCCGACCAGCCGATGAGGCTACACTGATCCAAAGCCAAACCTCGTCTCTGGAAACAGTAAAGAAGTTGCAAGGCAGTGGTGGCATCAGCATCAGGTAACTTGTTGCTTGCACTAACCTTCAAGGTGCCTGCTTCAATTTGGACCAACGAGGTTTTCTCCTTCCCTAGTTGTTGCACCTCAGCATCACGCTTTGTGCAACGCGAGGGGCTGATCCAAGTGATGCTGTTGGATTCGGCCATGAGGGCACAAGCATCCACCAGCGCGTAGCTGGGCTGCAGCTCCCCCTCTATCAGAAGCCCGGGCAGTCGGGACTTTTGCGAAGTCAAACGTGCCTGCTTTTCAACATGCGGCAACTTACGACCAGCAAGATCTGAATCATCCGCTGTCGCCTGGGCTCGCAACTGTGCCACCACCAGTGTAGAGGCTTCAAAGATAAGCATGCGAACGTTCGCAATCTGTCCGATCGTCGGCTGAGTACCCTCGGCACATTTGTATACTTTAGCCGCAAGGTCCCTCAGCGCATCATCCGATGGGGGCGTTTGGGGGCTCCCAAGTGCAAATGCTAACTGACGCAGCGTCTTCACTCCATTGGCCTTCAGAGACTCGAAAAGCGAGTCGTCCCCCTCGATGGGCAGGCACCTCTGTTTGAGCGAAGCCTCACTGTCAATTAGAGCCATTGCGCAGAGAAATCGAAAAAGATACCGACACAAAATTGGAGTGCACTCACCTGACAAATTAACTCATGAGTGTCCTACCACAAAGAGCTCGCAACAGGCTTCAGATTGAACCGCACGCGCGCTCAAGAAAGCTCACACAGTGAATCCACTTGGCGCCCTCAGCTCAAACGAAGCAGCTCAGCTCACTCACTGGAGAACAGATTTTCTCAGTTACCAGCAGCTGCAGACCTCATACACTGGCTACACACTCCTGTATCATACCTCATTATGCCAGGGGCGACATATGCTTGCGAGATCGGCCTTCCACACATTAGACGCCGCACATACCCGTCCTTCTTCAAGTGACAGATCCTGGACTTTGTATGCCTGATGAAGCTGGTTCCCTCAGGCGCTGAAGGAGGATGCAAAAGACGCGGCGGTCTGGGGCCCGCCCCACTTCCGTCGCTCTCCGATGAACTGGAGGCCCCTTCTGCCGAAGAGTCCGGGTCTTCGTCGTCGGTGACTCTGGGCTCATCACCGCCCAAGTCTGCCAACTCGCCCAAGCCCCCCGCTGCAGAAAGCCGCTCCTCGGGGTCATCAGCCTCGAAGTCCAACTCTCCGCCGAAGCCCTGAAAATCAGCTGTTTCAATCTGCAAATCTCCCGGATGCACGATTTCCTGATCGCGGTTCTGCCCCTCGCTCGGGGCTGAGACGTCCCTCACTTGATCCCACCAAGCCTGCTCAAGCTCTTCTGAAGAGGTAAATCTTCCCGAACGAGTGTTGTCTGGGTGAAAGCGTCCATCCCTCACCCACTGCAACATCCGGCTTAACTCAAAAAGCGGACCTGCGGCTGCGTCACGGCTGTAGCGGAAAACAGTCTTGCTGGTCCCTACATGATATCCCAAACACGCCCTGACATCTTGAGATGCTCCAAATTTCGCCATCCAAGAAAGGAGCGTGCATTTCGCAGAGTGACTGGACAGCTTTCTGTTGGCCTCCGCCGCACCTGGAAGGAGCTTCCTGATCCAAGCTGACATTTCACCTGACGAAAGCGGGCGCACTGTTGGACGCCCTGTAACGTCTGGTGCTGGCATAGCGGGCCAACCACTTGTGCAAGGCTTGAAACCCAAAGACTCGCACCGGCTAATCCAACGTTCAACCCACTGGCTTGATGTAACCCCAACGCACGGGCCGGTCATCGTCAAGAACTGGTGTCGATGCTGTCTCGACTGCATTGATTTGTGATGGCCGGTGATCAGATCGATGTAACACAAACGACCTAAAGCATCCCGATCCAATTGCAAATCCTCGCAGCACTGCAAGTCAGCCCATCTAGACCTCAAGTAGATGGCGGTCAATACGGCTCCAGCAAAGGCTGCATCCCAGTCGTCAAGAGCCTGGTGCACTATCTCATGCAACTCCAAAACTTCCTCTAGGGAGAAAGGCGAAGCTTGATTGACCCGTGCTCGCGGCTCGACATAACATACTCCTTGGCACCTTCTGCTAAAAACCAGCTCCTCGCACTCTTCAATGTTCAAGACGAAGTAGCAAAAGTTCAAAGCTTCAAGGATGCCCTTCCGCCCGGACTGGGCCTTACCTTTGGCACGTAGCTTGCACAAAGCGTCATACAGATGTTGCTCACCTGGGGGGAAAAGGAGCCCTTCCTCCGAGAGCAGCTTGTCAAGCAAGAAAAGAGATGAAGCCCTCTTGTTCAAAGTACTAGGGGCCTTTGGTCTCAAGTAATCAGCCAGGATGTCCATGCCTTCCGCCACAGTGGCGCTGGAAACTTGCTTCACCACCAGAAGCTCTGACTTCCAAAGCAAGACCAAATTATACCACCTCTTTATAGCTTTCTGTGTTTGACAATCCAAAGCTTCCTTCCAAGACAAAACTTCGATGTTTTGCACACACTGCAGATACAGCCTCCTACCAGCAATAGTCGGCTGCAGGATCTTACGGAGTTCCACATCCACAGGGCGATCTGTAGCAGCGGGTCTGCAGAGGGCCGAAGCACTGAAATCTTTTAATAAGTCACATGATGGCAACAAAGCACTCAACGGGTCTTCGGGCTCTTGGGGCCGCAAGGAATTCCAGGCCGCACGAACCTCCTCCGCGAAGTCGTGCTTATTCTCCCCCATAGCAACCACACGACGCAGCAAGGACCCTCTCTCACGGCAGGGGCCGCAGACCAGCTGCAATGGCCACAACAAGAATTTCTTCCAAGAAATCTCTGCGTGTGGCAGCACTCGAGGCCAGTAAAGCAGCTCTGGCCACAGGATCCAGAAAATTCCACAGCGCAACAGTCACCCGAATTTTGCAGGCAGGTCCCGAAGCAAATACGCAATCAAAACTCAGATCGCTAAAGTGAGAGCTTGCGGAGGTACTGGCCAAAGAATCTGAAGACTCGCTGTCCTCGTATTCCATGCGACGCCCCGCCCCACCCACTAGAAGCAGCGGGTTAGCACCTTGGGCCTTTTAGCAAGATCCTACACGTGTCTGCCGGGTGGCCTGCCACACCTACCAGTGCTCACTCCCCTTGCAGCGAGAGCAAGCCCTCAAGCCACTATTCCGTCGGGGGAACCCTGGCAACGGTGTACGGCACCACAGCAGAAGGATCTCAAGGCTCACAAAAATTTTCCTGCTCGCAAAGCTTGAGGTTTCATGCACGGCAACAAAGACATCGCGCAAACCCTCATGCTAAAACTGTCATGCACTAAAAAGGAGAATTCGTGCAGAAATGCAGGAAAATGTCTTTCTGTCATTGAAAAGTAGTCCACATACTCAAAAAGAGTGTCCGACTACTTTTCAAAATAAATCCACAACAAGCCTAGTTTTTACTAATTTCGTTTCAAACGAAATTTGCTTTTGGAAATAAAGGTTTCATCCTTGTTAGAGGAGTTCGACCTGGTGTCCGATCCATTGGCGGACACCACACTTGCAGCAGAGCCACATTCGGCCTGCATTGACCATCTTGCGTGAGGGGTGCTCTCCCATGTGTGGGGCTGAAGGTTCCATCCACTTGCACGTGTGTCCAATTTTCTTAGCAAAAGTTGCCTTGGCCTCAACTTGCTCAATGTAGTGCCCACACCTTGTGCAGTTGACACACAAGTTGTCCCTACTGCGGTGACCTTCTCTCCATTGATGCCCCATCTCCGGTTTGTGACCGGCGAGGAGGGCCTCCAGTTGCTGCCTTTTGTTGGGGCCTTCACTGGGGCTAGGTTGGACTGGTTTATCACCAGTTTCCCGTTTCCTCCCTTTGGTTTGGAGGCTGGTCTTGACCTTGGGGCCTGGTTTTTTCTTACTTTTTTGGTTTTCCTGGTCTTTTGCACCAGGTTTTTCTGGGAAAACTACCTGGGGTCCTTCACCAGTGCCGTACTGGAACAGTTCCTGTACTCTGTTTGCCAGGAAACCATTGATGCGACCTACCACCTCATCTTTGATGAGAATCTGTTGCTCCCACTGAAGGTTTCTTCGCTGGTTTGCCGCAGCTTGCACCAGCTTGTCGACCTCCTGGTTTGCCTCCCAGCGCCACCAGTTTTCTTCGCCAAACTTCTTCTGGAATTCTTTCTGGGACAGGTGGGAGTTTACCCAGGTGAGGCACAGGCGGTCTCGGTGGTTGCGCAAGCTCTGAAAGGAGGATAACTGTTTTTCTCGTCTTTGGCGAAGCGAGTCGCAGCCAGCTTTTAGCCGGCAAGTTTGGGTGAAACGTACTGTACTTACACCAGTGCTGTGGCCGCTTCAGCAACTGGTTTTGGCCTACAGCTTAGGCTCTTTGGCCCAGGACAGCAGCTGAGCTGGTTGCTACTTTCACCAGTCTTTAGGTTTTCACCAGTCAGGCTGGTACTGGTAGCACCAGAGCTGTTGGTCCTGGTTTGCCCTAAGCTAAGGCTCTTTGGCCCAGAACACCAGCTGTGCTGGTTACTACTTGGCACCAGCCTTCTGGGTTTCCACCAGTTTGGCTGGTACTGGTAGCACCAGTTTGGTTTCCAGGCTGTGGCCTGAGCCTTTGCTCCCTATGGGAAGGGAAGGACCAACCAGGTTTTCCCTGGTACCAAGTCGTGGAGGTACCCTTCCGGGAGGAGAGGTTGTCCAAGGATCCCCTCCGGCGTGATGGCAAGCACGTTTGCTTGAACCAACACGTGCATGAGGCTCTCGTAGTCCTCACGCGGGAGCGTGGCCCTTGCGTACACCTTCAAGGCGTACGTCAGACTCTCAAGACTGGTATGGTACTCCTGCACCTCGGAGTCGTGCGCCTCTATGGTCTTCCAGAAGCCCGACAGTCTTTGGACGTTTGGCCACTGGGGCCGAGCCCCAGGGGGATAGGGTTCCCACCCCAGCACGTCCACCACCACCAGCTCCGGCACCTCGTCCGGGCCTGGGCGCAAAAAGCGAAGGCCCATGTTGGCCCGCCCTATGTCTTTCACCAAGAGTATCTTGGCTAAAAGGGCCACCGTGAACATGGCTTGCGTCACTTGGATGCGGCTGAGCTGCGCGGGCATGGGGGTCACAGCCTCCATCTCTATGAGGGTGACCCATAAGATCTCCTGGTTAGCACCAGGGCCCTGCTCCCACATCTTGTGTCCACCGGCATGCCTGGCAAGTCCCGGAGTCACCGCCCCTGTGGCTCTGCACACCAGGACTTCCTGGTCTTGTGGGTAGGTTGAGATTTTCCACACAACCCCTGCCTTGTGCGGCGTGAAGGTCACTACACGTGACCCTCCCAGTCCTACCACCACCAGGCTGAGCCTGGTTACGTCTGGTGTGTCAGAGCTGGTGTACTCCACTTGCACCTGCTCCTTGTACCGACTATGGTACGGCTTCACATCCTTCTTCATTTGGATCGTGAAGGTCATGGTGTTGGTGTAATCCGGCTCTGGGTTGTTTACAGCCGGCCCTGGTGGGAGCTCTCTGACCCTTGCTGGCGCAATGGTTGAGCCACTGCTCTCCGGGGTCTGCACCGGAGCTCTAGGGCTTTCCTCCTCTGGACCCTCCAGGTCCTGCTGTTCTGCAGTTGGGGCCTGGTTGGCACCAGGGTCGCGGGAGGCTTTTGTTGACTCCTTGTCCTCTTCCTTTGCTGCCTGGTTTCCACCAGGGCTTTGGGATGGTTGAGCAAGGTGCCGGTTCTGTGTCCGACCTTTCTGCTTTTTCCTCCTGGTTTGCACCAGGGGCTTCCCCGCTTGGGGATTCAAGGCTCCAAGCCGGCTCTGTAGGGCTAGGCTCCGGCTTGGCTGTTTGGCCCTCCGGCTTTGCCGGGCTCTCCTCCTTTTTGCTGGTCATCACCAGGTTCACTTTTCTGCTCTTCGTTGTTGTCTGCTGCCTCAGAGGAGGAGGAGGAGCTGCTAGGTTCCCCACCTGGGCCGCCCTGGCCTTGTTTGGCTTGCCCTTGTCTGGCCCGCGCTCCTTCTCTTATGGTCGTGAGGAAGCTTGGTGTGGGCTTGGGCTTGGCAGCGGTGGTCGGCTCCTCATCCGTACTATAGTACGAATACACTTCGGCAGTGGGTGCCGGGGCTGGGGCTGTTGTGTCCATTGCCGCCGCCGGCCTCTTCCTTGCCGGGGGTGGCGTGGGAGGCACTTGTGCTTTGCCCTCCTCCTTGCCGGGTTCGGTTAATGTATTCGCAGCTGCTTCCTATTTGCAGCTTTATATGTAAAAATGTATACATATAAAGCAAAGAATGTATAAGAAAGGGAATTGATGCAGTCACTCGCACACACTCGCTCCTTTTGTTCTCTGGCGGGAAATGCAGATCCGAGCTTCAGCAGCAAGAAGCTGCCTGTGAAAAGGGTCTGCATGTTTTCCCCCAAACGCAATCTGCCAGAGAACCGAAGTCGCGCATCAATTCCCCAAATGAAAAACGTGCGACAAGGTGATTAGAGTGCGGCTCCCAATGGAGAGCTGCTCGGAATGCTGAAAGGAGGCTTCCATGATGGAGGCGAAATCGAAATGGAAGGCGAAGCATTCCAAAGTGACGTTAAAGCAATACGACGCCTTCGTGAGAGGCTCCACCGCAAAAAGTCAGCTTCAGTGTTCTTTGGACCTGCAATGTGATGTACATCCAAGTGGACACCAGTAAAACTGCTTAAAATGGCCAGTCGCTGCACAAATGCAGCGAGAGGCCAGGACGTAGTGAATAGCTTGTTGGCAGTGGCTTCGGCACCACTGTTGTCACACCAGGAATGCATGCGAACTGAAAGCTTGCATCCTGGGCTGAGAACACTCAAAAGCCAAACTAATGCAATCTGACCGAGGCACTCGTAACATGTAATGTCTTTGTGCGCTTCAGACTTTAATGGAAGCTCTGCAAATGCAAAATCCTCCACCGTAAAGCATTCTGAAAACCAAAATTCACCTCCTGGCAAAGCAATGTAGCCACCTATAGCAAAAGTGCGGCCGTTGCCCATGGCATCAGCTGCTGCCTCCACATGTAAATGCTCCATAGGGCGAAGCGATCGCCAAATTGGAGGTAATGCAGACCAATCAAGCCAGAACTGCAACAGACTTCTGGAGGATGGACTCAATGCACGACGCTTTGAGGCAGAATCTGCAATTCGAAGCCATATATCCTTATCTCCCAGGTTGCAATGTAAAAGTTCTCGCTTGGTGGAAACCTTGTGA